ATTAAAATTTTGATGACAAGTACAAAGAGAAAGAACTTAAAACAAATCAAGAAAAAAGCATGAAGAACTTACCGGTGAATGACAAAGAAGACGAACTTTGTAAAGCAATTAGAAAAATAGTGAAGAATTGAGGACAAGAGTGTTACGAATTTATAAGAAGACTATGTTTCCTAAATCAATCTTAATTAACTGACTAATTTAAAGTGATTTAAACTTCTTGTTTCCTAAATGGACAGTAATTTTAGTTGATATCTAACTGTATATGGTTTCTTGTACGTCAATTAATGAACGGCAACTGATTTGAATTTGAACTACTAAGTTGGCGAAGTTTAATTTCAAGTGATTTAAACTTCTGGGCTGTCCTTACTTTGTTTAACAGGCTTCAGTATGAGTTCTGTGGCTACCAAAAGAAATCAGTTCCGAGACTGGTAAAACGAGAGAGTCATTCCCACTGCCTTGGATAGCTGGATGATGTTCTATTAAAATTTTTATAAATTAGAAATTATCTCTACGTATAATATTGTAGTGGGTAAGGGCATAAACTGCCTAAAAGATACTCCAATATGACGGTCAAATGGGGGGGCGTTCAATTGGAGAACTGTCGAATGGAGGAAGATCAAGGAGGTGGAGGGGACACATTTCACATCCACTTACTAAGAGGGACCGTAACAGGGTGAAGCGCTTTGAAGTCTCCAGGATCGTCTAAAAAAGTTGGAGAAGAAGGAAGAAGTGTTGCAGAATTGGGTAAATAAGAAGGCATAGAGTTGCATTAGAAAAAATTGCCCTAAACCTAAATATGAGATTATCGTATTAAGGATAAAATGGTAAATATCCAAAATCACAAGGATGTACAACCTTGCCAAACAAAACCCAGACGAAAAAGACCAGGTGTAGGCAAAGACGAAAGCTGGCACCAAACATAGCTCCAGATGTATCTAATTGTTAATTATCCAAATTTGACGAAACAAATTTTGTGGTGGTGCAAATATATCTATATATCTAATTGTTTGGTCTGTGCATTTTGTATCTATATTGAAATGTATAGGTTGTTAATATTGGATATGGTGTAAACTTCTCTTAATCTTAACAGATTGTCTACCTACGACGACTTATTAGTTTTCTATTATGTATTTTTCTGTAATAGTAAAAAATATAAGATGTGAGAATAGAGAGAAAAGTGAGTTGTCGATACTGTTTTTCTTTGTATTTTGCAATTTTCTAATACTCAATAAAATCTTTTTATTTAAATGCTGGACGTAATTCCTTAAAAAGAGAATGAATTGGGATAAATTATTGTGTTCTGTTATTATTTTATACTTTTCTTGTAATGTGTTTGCTTTCAGTTTCAACAGTCAATTTATCAGATTTCATTATAGAAGGTCTATTAGGATCTTCATGAATTCAAAACCACTAAGCTTGATTCGTGCCAGAGAATCATATTCGTCCTGAAAGTATAAAAGTTTTTATAAAACTCATTAGAGGAACTGGGGAAGGTCTCCCTGTTGAGTCATGTTTGATTTTGTCTTATAATATTCTATATTCTACTATTTGATGACATCTGTTTTCTAAGTGTTTTAAACGTGTTGAAATCTCTTAAGTCGTAGTCTGTTTATCATTAACTTTAAGAAGAATTTCAAAGGAACTGATTTTTATATAAATTTCATTAATAATTCATTAAACTTTTGAGGTTGAACTGATCCCAAATCCACGAGAGATTTCTCCATGAAAGACAGTAACAAGTTCAGAATGAAGAAAAGTAACACCAATAAAGAATCTGAGACCAACTTGATAGAATTTGAGGTGAGTTTGACTCGCTCATCCAATAAAGCCTTGTTGAATGGGAGGATTATCCTCTCTTATAACCCAATAGGTTTGAGCGTATCTAGTCGATGTAGGACTCCAACACTCTTTGTCACGGTTAAACCCATATGTTGGGTCATGCCTGTTGATAAAGGTAGTTATTGACTCTAACTCCTCACCTGCTGGTTAAATATTTAGCTAAACTGAACCTAGACTCTGATACTATGATAGAATTTGAGATGGACCTGACTTATCACCTAATAAAACCTTGTTGAATGGGAGGATTACCCCTTCTTATAACCCAATAAACTTGAGCGTACTTAATCGATATGGGACTCCAACACAATTTTAGTCAAAGTATATATTCTTTCTTTCTTCAACATTATCCAGAATGATTTTCAACACCCCATCGTTTCAATCAACACCGTTCATTTACATATCAATATAAAATATATAATAGATAACTAGTGATGTAGAATCAGCATAATAAAAAGTTTAAGATTCTTTCAGGTGTGTTCTTCCATATTTGAGCCGCAGAGAAACGAAAAGTTGTTTTGACTGCTTAATTAATTAGTTAATTAAATTATGTTAAGCTCACGTAGTCTTAATTAATACAATGAGCGTACCCACAGAACTAAACTGGGCTATTATTATCTCATGTTTTTTCAAAGTGAATGTGGAATTTATGCTTTTTTTCTTTCCTTTCCATTCACTGGGATCTCTTCGGTCTCCTCGATTTTGTCAATCCTCCTTTTCTAAATTGGACTATTTTTATCGCATGTTTCTTTAAAGTAAAATGGAATTTATGCTTTTTTTTTTTTTCCTTTCCATTCACTTAGATCTCTTCTGTCTCCTCGATTTTGTCCGGATTCTCTTTTGCTAAAATAAGCNAGCTGAATTGTTCAAGTCTGATCATCCTTTTTTCAGGGTTACCTTGCGACAATATAACACACGTAAAGGTTTTGTATATTTGGTGAGGCTTTTGATCTGAATTCCTTAAAAACACACAAATTTTCAGTTTAGTTAAGTAGTCTGTGCTTTAAAAATTGAAAATATTTTTGTTTTTGCAGCATGTTCCAGCCACATTTGCTCGAAAGTATCTAAATGGTTTCAGAGGACATATCACACTTCTGGATTCAGATTGCAACCGCCAGTGGCTTGTCCAATCTCGTTCTAAGGATCGTAGAGTTGATTTGTACAAGGGTTGGTCTATATATGTAAGGGATAATAATTTGGAAGAAGGTGATGTATGTGTCTTTGAACTGATTAGGACAAAGGATGTTGCTCTAAAAGTCACCATATTTCGTGCTCTCGAACACACAGAATCCATTAGTAGGCCAAACTAGAACAATTACTAATCAGATGTTTGGTTGAGGTGAACAAAATTCAAGAAACAACATTTTCATGTGAAATTTTGCTGTGCATTGTGTCTCCTTTGGTTATGGTTATGTGCAATAAAGAAAATCTGATGTCTTTAAGTTCTTAACCTGGTTTCATCCCGGGTTCGCTGTATCAATGTCACTCTGCACATGTTAACTGAACTTTTCTGGTATTCCATGTTTTAATGCAAGATAGTCCGTATACTTTTTTCTAACTTGGTGAATGATACAAGCTTTGTTACTAAACTAAGAATTCATTGAGTTCCTAATTCTGAAAATTTGACAACCATATTGACAACAATTGATTAAAGTTAAAAAGTATTGCATCTTTTTGATATTGGGATTTGCATTGGACAGTGTTGATGCTTGATTTTTACACCGCATGTGTAAAGTGTTAAGTAGCTCTTAGAAATTACATGTGAATAAATATGATAATCTTATGCAAAGATTGAACTATAAATAAAAGATGATTTTTAAAGTGGTTTGGATGCTTAACGCAAGTCCTACGTTCACTGTTCTTTTATATATGAGAGATTACAAGAGATCGCAAATAGAGAACAGTGAGCAAAGGTACAACGATTAATTATTCAGATAGAATATCAAGTCAATCTCGTTCTTGTAGGTTATCTTTGCTTTGAAGATATAGATTACAATCAAAGTGTGAGTTTTTTGTATCAGAATCCCAAAAATAGAGGGGGAGTGCTCTATTTATAGTAGAAGAATTCAAGGTAATGATTACAAATCTGCAAGTGGGTTGGTGTCATGCAAGTCCTTTCTTGCCTCCCATTAGCTGATAATTTAGGATATATCCTCAAGTTACTTGGGGATTGGACAAGTGTGTGGCTCCCATTCACTTATAAACAAAACCTAAATCTGTCAAGTTGGTGACAGCCGTATTCTCTTTATCTTGGGGCGACGTGACAGCCTCTGGACGATGCAAAGCCTTCCTGAACTCTGATTGGAGCTAGTTGATGTAGACTTACATTAACCCTGATTTTTTAGGCATAACAGACAGAGAAATGTTTTAACAACCGCATGGAATGATAAAAGTAAATATTATCAGTAAACCTTTGATGGATTGAAGTCTATAAGACATGAATGTACTTCCAGGGGAAAATTAGCCATTACCGAATCTATTAGAGTTTTACTTCCAGGGTCAAGCCAAATTAATAATGTAAGAAGTAATGAAACCTCATTTATGTGCAAGATGGTTGGAAGGAAAGTAAGAATTACAAATGTTGATAGTGTGTGCTTGGAGATCAAATTATGAGTTTTAATTTTTGTGATTGTATAATAAGCAAAAACATGGTTTTAGGTTCATAGTAGTGTTGGTAGTGATAAAATTTGAGGTGGGTTTAACTCTTTATCCAATAAGGCCTTATTTGGGGAAAGTTGTTTACTTAAAAAAAATACCATGATAGAATTTGAGGAGTCAAGGCCTTTTTAAAAACCTGGCTCTAATTCCTCACTAGTTGGTTGAGTACTTAGCTCAATTGAACCTGACTCTGATAGAATTTAAGGTGGGTCTCACTCCTCACTCAATAAGGCCTTGTTAGGTGAGATGATTACCACTTCTTATAAACAGTAGGCTTAAGCGTGCCTAATCGGTGTGGAACTCTAGTAGCTAAGAAGATATGTATTACTGGTTTCTAACATTGATATATTTGAATTAAACTTATGTGTTAAGAAACCCTAAAAAATTGACAAACATAAAAAAAGAAAGTGTATAAAATAAAAAATAAATATAGAATTTAATTCTTCTAGAGGGTTATGTTTATATGAGCCGACCAAGCAAACAAATACTGTGAGGCATAATAAAAGTGAAAATCTGAACGCTAAACAATTGGCTTGTTCCAGGAGATCACAGCCAGTCATGTCCAATGCTTTAGAATTGGAAGAGACGCCCTCCCATTTTTTCAAGGTCATCCTCTCCTCTACCCTGGAAGATAAGAAGCTGGTAATTCTGATTCACAGAACTTTCTAATCTTCCTTGTTTAACAGAGATTTTTTGGCTAAAAATATGATCTGGGGTCTAATTTTTGTTGTTGTTTTGGTTAATTATGTGCTTCTGGGACTTACAAAGTTTATGTCGACTCTCTAGAATTGGTGTTGGTTGATTTTGCAGTCGTCTATTTTGTGATCTGTTTGAACAAGTAAAACAACATTCTTTAATGCTTTGGTTTCATAAAGATTTGTCTTTTTGTGAGCTTTTGGTACAAAAAAAGTTCACTTTTTAATGTGCCCTTTAAGGAATAGGTCAAGATTTTTACTTTCTTGAGTTCTACCTTTGATTGTAATTGCTAGATTGCCATCACTAGAGAGAATTGCTTCAATGTTTACAATGAAAAATATTTCATATGAAATCTCTGTGCGGACTAGCTGCACCTAGATAGAACGACCCTATGAAGCTTTACTGTTCCCTGGGACTGGCTTTGGGCTTTTCCTGCGCAGCTTAGGTGGAAGGCGAAGAAGGCCTCCTTCCTGGGGGGCCCGAGCCATCAGCGAGATACCACTCTGGAAGAGCTAGAATTCTAACCTTGTGGTGTGGTTCCTCTACGCCTAGGATACCAGAATATCGAACCATGAATGAAGAAAGGCATGTGAGAAAAGCATATATTGGCGTGGTTTTGTTGCCTACATTTGCTTCACAACTGACAACCAACTCTTTTTAGTAGCATCTCTATTCAGTCTCAGCTGATTGCCAAACACTTTGATTGTTTACAAAACTAAAATTTTGAACTGCAATTTCAGGGAAGAATTTCTTGAATTGCTAAGAATTTCGCTTGTTTTCTAATTGATCCTCTAGCTTTATTTGTGTTACCGCAGATGATTCCAGGAAAGTTTGCCAGGAAATTTTGGAGTGAACTTTCTGGTGTTGCTAAACTGAGAGTTTCCAGTGGCCTTGTTTGGCAAGTGGGGTTGACAAAATATGCGAGAAAAATTTGGTTCAAGGATGGTTGGCACAACTTTGCAGAAACCAATTCAATCAAAATTGGGTATTTTGTGGTCTTTAAATATGTGAAAAATTCAACATTCGATGTTCTTATATTTGATACAACTGCTTGCGAGATTCAGTATCCAAATAACCGTGGAGAACCAGGAAATAAAAAGCAGAAAATGAGCCATAAAGCAAGGCCGTCTGAAGCTTCAGTTTGGAGCTCTAAGTTTAAGCAAGGCCATGAGCCACCACCAAGAAAGAAGAGTAAAATGGAAGAGGAGGTGATGCAGAGAAATGAGTCAATGCATGACGGGAATGAACACGACTTTATGAATTTACTTGAACACATGGGAATCTTTTTGACTGAAAAATGTAGAGCTTATGTTTCAGCCGAAGAAAGAAAGAGAGCAATCAACATTGCCAGATTGCTTAAGCCAAAAAATCCTGCATTCATGACTATCTTGCAGTCAAGTTACCTTTATACACAAAGGCTGGTAAGATTTTAAAACAATTCTGATAGCAGAACTGCTCTTTCATTAATTTTAGCCTTCAATATACAGCTTAGTTGTAATTCTCATTGCTTTTTTTATTTTTGCAGTATGTGCCAAGCAAATTTGCTAACAAGTATTTGACTAGAGATGTCAATTTTGTCAAACTACAACTTCCGAATGGATCAGAGTGCATGATAAAAATCTGTTGGAGACTTTTTGGGGGTTTCAATTTAACAAGAGGGTGGGCAGAAATTGCAAAGACCCTGAATTTGGAGAAAGGAGATATCTGTATCTTTGAGCTAATCAAGAAGGACGACTTTCTACTAAATGTTTCAGTATTTTATGCAACTAAAGAGTAAAAACAAGTGATTAGGTGGCATGCTGAATTGCAAATTATTATGGATTATAAATTTTTATTTTTTGGGTTTTTGTTACGGATTATAATATGTTTAAACCAACCCTTGGGTGGTTAGACAGTCAATTGAGACTCTTGGGTATATTACTCAAGAGGTTTTGAGTTCGATTCTCCTCGGTTGCTAGTAAGGGTGGTCACTAAAGGATTACTTGGTCGTTAGCTTCAAGGTCTTGGGGGATTAACTGAGATTTGCGCAAATTACCCCGAACATCTCCGGTTACCAAAAATATATATATATATATATATAATCATTAGGTAGTTATGACACTCATACATGATTCTGTCATATGTAAAGCATAGAAGTAGCACATGATATGGGCTTGAAACTCTATTATGTGGTGGAGGGAGTTCCCCATTTAAAGCACTTCCTGCAGGCTGCTTAGAAAGAAATATTAAATGACTCACAAATCTTAGCTATGAGTTCTGGACTCAAAATTTTCTGATATAATAATGTTATAACAAGAGTTGACACAGTGCAGGGAATGAAAAACCATTAAGATGAAAATTTAGTACAATATTGGAACGAGGACAAATTCAACCAAGGGAGAAAATTAATGGTATGCTTGGGAATATTTTTCCGTGGTTTTAGGGGGTTTTAATTAGACTAGTTTTGAGGTGTTCTAAAACCATTATTTGTCAGATTTTTTATGCACTGGTTTTGACAGACTCAAAAACCCCCAGAACTAGTTGAGTGTATTTTTTAGAGGTTTATAAAACCTCTCAAATTGAGATGTTTTGGTTGGTTTTAAAATTTTATTCTACAAATATCCCATCCACTACAAAAACTATTTCAATTATATCCAAAAATCATTATTGCCAATAAAAAATGCACAAAACAAAAGGAAAGAGAAAAAGACTTGACTTCTTTTCATTCGATTGTTTATTCTTCAGCTTCTTCAATTATCTTAATAAGGTCCGTTTCTCTCTTTCTCTCTTGTTTTTTGTTTGGGTTTAATGGCACATTGTCATGCTTAAATAAGTGAATGATCCTTCGTTTTCTTGGTAGAATCATTAAGGTTTTTCTTTTTTTTTTTAATTATTTTTATTGGGGTATTTTTATAAGTATATATGTAAATTTATCATTTTAAAAAAATTATCAGAATTGTTAGAAAACAAACTTCTAATCGTAGGTTAGATGTTTTAAAAACCGCTACTAAAAACCCCTTAAAACTGCTACGATAGTTTACTTTCATAACCTATACCATGAAACCCCCAAGCAAACCCTAAGAGAAATCAAAGATAGATTAATAACATGGATACTTCAATTCCAATTTCGTTGATTATTTAGAATGTGAAACATGGCTTCACAAATATTACAAGGACCATCATCGCCATTTCTAAACGCGATCATTAGCACATTCTTCTGGGTAAAACTGAACTGCTTCGATTTCTTTGTTATGAATAATACGCATATTTTGCATATGATAAGCTCCTAGCATAGAAGTTGATGGATCGGGCAATAATGCATTAAATTGGTTGATTACTGAAGAAGAAATTTACGTTGTCATTCGAGCAGCCGAAGAGAACATTAAATTGTCGTGTATTACCACTGTTTTCGCTATATAAAAGATGAAATGATTCAAAGGAGACACAACCTTTCGTTGGCCCAGAAGTACCTGCACCACCACCATATGTAGTACTATACACGCAAAAGCCATTAACACATTGGAAAGGGCTGTATTCTTCATCGTAGTTACAACGAGGGTGAACATTACACAATAAAGTTTCTGGTAAGAAGAGGAAGCTTTTAAATCGTATATGGGATAAGTTTGTTGGAAACAGTTTCTGCAAGGTTCATATTGTGTCCAAATTAGGTGACTGCTGCCAGTGTCCACCACTAAATACACAGATTGAATTGGGTTTCCGATCATCATCTGCGCAATATAGTAGTAATGTTGACGGTCTAGAGCAGTCAAATGCTTGTCGTCGTCACCAAATGTTGCATTTTGATCAGTAAAATGCAATTTCCTTAGTTTAGCTTTGGCCAGGGTGATATTAACCCTTCTTTCAACTCTTTCCTGGTAAGGTTAGGTTGATATATAGGGGACTCACGAGAGTCTACTGGGATCAGCTTAATGCTGAATCCTGAAGATTTTGAAGCTGCAAAACTAAGTCTAGAAAATCTAACTAGACTCAGAAATACTGCAGTTGGAAGTCTAAGGAACTAATACTCCCACCCAAGTACTTATAGAATTGGTCACAACAACCTTATATCTAACTTATAAGTATAAAACAGAAATTAACATCTATATCATCTGTAATTTTTTAAGTACTAATGCACAGGATTCCGGAAATGTTTGTGAAAAGGTTGGGAGACAACCTTTCTACTGTTGCTTTACTTGTGGTTCCTAATAGCCGCGTTTGGCAGGGTGTCAGTAGATCGCTTGGCAGAAAACATATATTCGAGATAAATAACATAAAATTAAAATCACACCACTCAAAAAGATACGATATTTACGTGGTTCGGTATAATCTGTCTACATTCATGGATGAAAGAAATTCATTATAGTTTCATGAACAAGATATACAAGAGCACACAATACTAAAAACCTGATACAATTAACATGGCGGAAACAATCCTAGTTTCTAACCACGCTCAATCCAGTACCTAGAGTGGAAACAATCACATCTAAGACATTCTACCCATGGTGTTTAATAACTCTTACAAAAAACACCCTGTGTTCTCACATTCTTTCATAAACTTGAATTGGTTCTCACCCCTGTATTTATAAGTACTATATGAGATATTCTTTTTCTAATAGGATTCATATTCCAATACCTAATAGGACTCCTAAATTATATTCCTATTTACAATTGTATTCTTTATTAAATAGTTTTTTCTTAAGGACATACAATTTCACATGGAAACAAATAAAAAAACGAGCCACAATATCCCAACAATGGGGTTGGTAAGAGATGAAAGGAAGATTTGGTTCCAGGATGGTTGCTGGAAATATGAATCTACCCTGATACCATGTTGAAAATCGAAGAAGTAAAAAAAAACAATAAAATAAAGAATAGCACAATAACAACAACACAAAGTCACACGATATTTTACGTGGTTAAGCATAACTTGCCTACATTCACGGATAAGAGGGTTTTCACTATAATAATATGAATACGATACAATTGTTTCATCATACCATCAACCTAGTACCTTTACTTAGGTAGACATTCTGTTCCTATTGTGTTTAATACCACTATGGTATTTTCTCGATACCCTATGATACCTTTACATCAAAACCCATTGTATCCCCACATTCTCTTTTTCTTTACTTCCCTTTCTCATAATCTTGAATTGGTTTTAACTCTCATATTTATAGGTAAAATATGACATTCTTATTTTACTAGGATTCATATTCCTATTTCTAACAGATCTCCACTAACTTAAATCATTATCCTATTTTAACTTAGATAGAATTCTAAACCAATTCTTCTTTCCTAATACATCTTACCATAGAAAAGGAAAACAATAATTCTCATTTACAAATTCCTAAACTAGAAATTTGCTTAAAACTTCATCTTTTTTTTTTTTTTTTTTTTTTTGTTTGCCTTTTTCTTGTGTGCATTTCTTTTTGATTGCCTTTTCTTCATATTATAAATAAGTGTTCACACTCTAACAATGGTTGGCAGGCCTTCATAGAATACATAAATCCATGCTGGATATTTCTTGATCTTTACATATGAAAAGAGTTCGACCTTTCAGGTTCTTATTTTTGATATGACAGCCTGTGAAATTTACTGTCCGTATAATAGTGAAGAATCACAAGCAGAACTCAGTACACCAGGATGAAATTGAAGGTAGACCACAAGGCAATTTGGAGAAAATTTAAGCCAGAAGACAAGTAGTGTGAAATGGTAGAAAAAAATGAATCAAAAGATGAGGAAGTGTGATTTTTTTGCTTTACTTGGGGGAAATGAGGATCCGTTTTAGTAGAAATCAGAAATTCTTTCAAAAGAAGAAAGAGAGCACTCGACATCGCCAGATTGCTAAAGCCTGAAAATCCTTCTTTCATGGTTATCATTGAAAATCCTCCTTTCATGGTTATCATAAGATCCTGAAAATCCTTCTTTCATGGTCATCATAAGATCGCGTTACACACAAAAGAATATCGTATGATGGGCTGTTAAATATACTCTGCTTGGTCGTTTGATACTCCCCTCAAAAGTTGCTACTGTTTCTGAGTGAACTCTGGTCTTCCAATGTTGATAATGCTACTCCGATTTCCGTGCAATAACTTTTAAATGGGATTGAATTCCAATTAATAAAGAATTTTTTCCACCCACGTAATGTTTTAATGATATTTTTTCACCAATAGATTTCTAAAATATTATTTTATTACTTAAATTTATATTCTGATTCTGATTCTGACATCTTTATGACCTCATACCACTACCATTCTCTTTTTCGATCATCACTCACCAAAATTCTTCAAATTTTATTCCTGTCGACCCCACCAATCATCGACAATCAAGCGATTAGGGTTTACACAACCACCCCTCCTAAGTTAAATTCTGATAAATCTGAATTACCAAAAGACTCATCAGCCTCTCCTCTTTAAGAGCCCCAATAGTCTGGATCAAGTTTGCTCTTTGTTTGTTACAGAAATATAAATTTGGGTAATAAAGTGATATTTTAAAAGTATGTGGGTGAAAAAGTGTTATTAAGCCATTATTTGGGTGGGAAAAAAAATCGATAATTATTTGAACCAACCACCGTGGGCCACTTATCACATTTGTAATTTCTTGGAACATTGAAAAGTTAGTGCATGGAATGGGAAGCGGCATTAATTATCAAATTTTGGAAGATCAAAATTCACTCAAAATAAGTTACAACGTTGATTGAGGGGACTATCAACCGACCTAGCAGTTGAAAAGCTTCTCCAGCATATATAAAGTCACAACAGATTCACCCCTGGTAACTTCACAAAATGGCAAGGGATTGCAGAAGGAAAGTACAACCCTGTAAATCAAAGTCTTTGGCTGAGACATCACCACATTTCTTCAAGGTTATCCTTCCCTCTACACTTGAAGAGAAGAAACTGGTAATTATAATTAGTTTTATGAAGAAATCTTGGTGGTTCTGTATGCCTTTGTTTCACAACCAACCTCTTTTAATTTCATCGATATTAGGCCATATCATGGTAACCTTTTCTTTGTGACTGCAGGGGATTCCAGAAAGGTTTGCCAAAAAGTTTGGGGATGAACTTTCTTCTGTCGCGATGCTCGCCATTCCTGATGGACATGTTTGGCCAGTGGGATTGACAAGAGAAGGGAGTAAATTTTGGTTCCAGGATGGTTGGAATGATTTTGTACAGAATAATTCAATCTGTGCTGGATACTTCTTGGTTTTCAAATATGCAAAGAAATCAATTTTCCAGGTTTTAATTTTTGACAAGACAGCTTGTGAGATTCACTATCCATATAATGCACCTGCCCAGATCTCAGCCCTCCAGGATGGAATACAAAATAAGCCAGAAAGCAAGAAGAGCAAAATAGAAGACATGCCACAGAAAGGTGATGAGTTTTTGCATTTATTTGAAGAAAGTGGAATCTACATTACTGGAAAACATAAACTTCTTTCAAAAGAAGAGAAAGAAAAAGCCATCAACATTGCTAGATTCTTTAAACCAAAACATCCCGCATTTATGGTTTTCTTGCGAGCTCCTAAAATTATTCATCCGGTGAGCTTCTGATCTTGAAGTTTCTTCAATAGCCTTTGAAACATTCTTGCTTAGTAATTCAAAAACTGTTATTTTTTGGCTTGATTTGCAGACTGTGCCTGCTAAATTTGTCAACAAGTACTATAGAGAAAATGCTAAGTTCATCAAAGTACAATCTTCTGATGGAAGAGAGTGGCTTCTCAACAACACAGGGATATATCGTGGGCAACTTCGTTTAGGAAATGGATGGGCTAGGTTTTCAAATGAGATGAATTTGAAGGCAGGAGATATCTGTGTGTTTGAGCTTATGAGGGAGAAGGACTTTGTTCTGAAAGCCTCAATTTTTAAGATTTGAAATTGTGATGTGTATCATTTTCTGAAAAGAATAACTAAAAATGGGGATGATAGAATTCTTGGAAAATAATAAAAATAATAAAAAAGTTCGTAATATTTTTATCATTTTATATAATCTAGGGGTTGAGATATCAGTTTTATCTTCCCAAATCAGGATTTTTGCTCTCTCGATTACAGAGAATCAAGTAGAGACAAGGCAATTGATCTTAATAAGACCTTGTTGAATAGGAGGATTACCCTCTTCTATAAACCAGTAGGCTTGAGTGCATTTAGTCAGTGTGGGACTCCAACACTCATCCTCACGGTCAAATCCATATGTTAGGTCATGCTACTCATATGTTGAGGTGGGTCTAACTTGAATGAAAGGATTACCTTCTCTAGTAAACTTGAGCGTGTCTAGTCTATGTGGGATTCCAACAATAGTGTCAGTCTGTCAAATGGCTCTTCTTAGCAGGAGAGCTGACCTAGCATGTAAACTGAATGGCAGAGACACCCTCACATTTCTTCAAAGTGATTCTCCCTTCCACCCTTCAAGACAAGAAGCTGGTAAATTATCTCAACTTTTATTCTTTCTTTGCTCTGCAGTTTGGTTAGAAAGAGAAAAAGGTAGAATCTTCAGTCTTACTAACACTTTTGGGGAATTTATGGTCTTGGAAGTTTCTTAGCAAACAAACTGAACATATTAGCACTTTTGTTTTGGTGTTGCATGCAAGAACCCGCAAACAAATGATGCTGCATTATATCTTGAAATGCTTAGGACAATGCCCTGTTGTTCTGTCCTGTACCTCAAATCCCAGTTTTTTTGTTTTCTTTAGTTTTTGGGATTAGATAGTAAATGATTTTGCATGTTCCATTATAATATCTAGCTAGAGTGCTAAACTTTTCAATGTGTGTATCGTTTCCCTGTGAATCAGTGTAAATTTCTAGTTGGTGATTAATTGCATGAGCTTGTGAAACTATGAAAAAATATACCTAATGTGTTTAGACGCAAGTCTTCTGGTTACTGCCTAAAATGTATCCAACTTTACTTGAATAAATGCCGAAGATTCCAGTGAATTTCTTGAGGAAATTTGGGAATGAACTTTCTGATGTTGTTACACTGAAAGTTCTGAATGGTCGTGTTTGGTGAGTAAGGTTGATAAGAGATGAGAGCAGGACTTTTTTACATGATGATTGGCATAACTTTGTTCAATATCATTCAGTCTCTTCTGGATACTTTCTCGGTTTTCAAATATGACAAGATTTCAATTTTTTGTGTTCTAATGTCTGTTTGATATGTCTGCTTGTGAGATTGACTATCCATTTAATGGTTAAGAACCAACCTTTGACTGAAGGAAATCAGTACTTCAGGATGATGAAATTGATACTGAGGACTCTGTTGAGGTAAGGGACTTCATTCCTCCAAATCCCCCTTTTAGCTCTTAGAGGAACAAAGTTTTTAATGAATGTCCAAGGAATTGCTCGTCTAGAAAAATGTCCAGTCCACCAACGGAGAATCAGGCTAAGTCCCCTTTTGGATCAGCTTTGGGAAACAATAGGAGTCAGAAATGTGCTACTACCCTTAAAAAAAAAAAAAAAAAAAAAAATTGCTGGAAACTTTTCCCCTTTTTTTTCCGTGAATGGTTTATTGTTTCTGGTTCTAACTATAGTTCATTGATTGTAAAAGGCTAGGCTAGCATTATTTTTAGTTTTTCACTGTCCCTTGGGGTAGATAAAAGATGGAAAATGGATCTTCTTTCATGATGGCTGGCATGACATGACTTAGTTGAATATCATTCAATTGGGGTCGATAGTACTTATCGGTTTTCAAATACAGAAAAGTTTCAAATTTTTCAGTTGCAATATAAGTTTTCTGCTTGTGAGATTAGCTCTCCATATGATATTGAAGCACCAGAAAACTGGGAAAAGGCCAAGAACCATGATGAGATTGAACTTTTCACTGAATCTGTTGTGATAGTGGTTTTCACTACCCCAAAACTTCCTTGTTTCCTTTTTGAAAAACTAGAGTTTTTGATGAATCTCTGAGTATAGGGTTTTCTAGCCAAATGTACACTCACACATTATCACAGAATCTGGATAAGTCCTTTTAAGAATGCTCAGAATGTGATTGGAAGATGGTTTCTGAATCTCAGTGTACTTCGGTGCTAGAAAAAGGTTTGTTTATGCTGAATGGTTGTTTTAAAAGAGCGAGAAAAACCTTACAGGCATAGTAATCTCTCAAGTGATGTATGGCTTTTTTTTTCTTTTTTTTTTTTTCTAACCAGACATAGGCATTGTGAAATCCTAAAAACAATAAAAATGCACCTTAATTCTACAAACAGAACAGCAAAACATCAGAGACAATGTGAAGATCCACACAGTAGAAGTCAATATGCAGTAAACCACATTTAAGCAAAATTCTGAGGTGAACCCTGTATAGATTTTGTCCCATCAAAGCTCTTTAAGCAGCTTTCTTTAATCTGCACAAAGGAAACCTAAAGTCTAAGTCTATACCTCTTTTTTTTTTTTTTTTTTTTTCTTTTAATAGGTATATATTTTTTATAGATTAATTAGTATATAAACCGAGATATATATATAGTGTTTGTATATAGAATAAAGAGTAGCGTAATCACAGTTGGAAAATCCTAGTTCTCCCAACCGTTGTATGTTTTAAACTCTAAACCTAAACGTATATACTTGAAGTGTGGCCATAATTTTCAACTCTGGTAAGTAACTGAACGATGCCTTGTACTGGAAGGAAAGCAAATCCCATTACACCAAATTCTTTGGGGGAGCCACCGTTACACTTTTTCAAGGTTATCCTTCCCAATAACCTGGCAGTGAAGAAGCTGGTAATTCACAGAAACTCAATTTTCTTATTCTTTGCTCCCCCTAGGTTATTTTTTCTGCTGATTAGTTTTCATATAAATATGCTCATCTCCGTTTGTCTATATTATATGGTTTTTCTTTTAGAAAACTAAGTTGTAAATTTAGGCCAAGAAGTTTCCATCTCCATTAGGGTGGAATTCAGCATGTGGGTGTGAAGAGTTCTGCTTCACAGTCAACCTCTTTTAATTTCATCATTATTAAGCTTCTTGTAATTAAATTCACTTTGTTTCCCTTGTTTATAGTATTTAATAACATCTATTACCAAAATCTGATTTATGTTACATTGGTTTGGTCATGTGTTTTAATTGCAGAATCACATTATTGGTTGTATAATTGTTATAGGGGTTTGTCTTCTTGTTTTGTCATGAAAGCACATAGTTGATAGATTTTCACTCAATTTTTATATCTATCAGCTAACATCTTCTGTATTACTGCAGGGAATTCCTGGAAACTTTGTCAGTAGGTTTGCAGATGAACTTTCTGCAGTTGCAAAGCTCAGTATTCCTAATGGTCATGATTGGCAAGTGACAATTGATGGGAAAAATATTTGGTTTCAGGACGGTTGGCACGACTTTGTTCAATATTATTCAGTCAGTACTGGATACTTTTTGGTTTTCAAACATGCAAAGAATTCAACTTTTGAGGTTCTTATTTTTGATAAGACTGCTTGCGAGATTCAATATCCATATAATGCTGAAGAAGCAGTAAATGATGTGGAGAACTCAAAATTTAGGCCACCAAGCAAGAAGTTTAAAATCGAAGAAATGGGAATCTACATTGCTGAAAAAAAATGGACTTCTTTTAATAAAACAAAGAAAGAGAGCAATTGATATCGCCAGATTGTTCAAGCCAAGGAACCCCTCCGTTCATGTTTATCTTCTGAGAGCATGGTGTAAGCGAATATACGGTAAGCTTTTAAATAAAATTGTGAGTTAACCACTTTTCCCACCCAAATAATGGTTTAATGACATTTTCCAATCCATAGACTTTTAAAATACCATTTTACTACCCAAGTTTATATTTAGGCGACGAACAGAGAGCAAACTTGGTTCAGACTATTAGGGCTTTTAAAAAAGGGAGACCGATGAGTATTTTGGTGGTGGAAGGTTAAATTTTAGTGGTTGAGATTTATCGAAATTTGACTTGGGAGGGGTGGCTATGCAAACTTTAATCGCTTGATTGGCAAAGTCGATCAGAATAGAGTTTGAAGAGTTTTGGTGAGTGATGATTGATGAAGAAAATGGTGGCAGTGTAGGATCGCAACGATCTTAGAATCGGAAATGGAATATAAATTTAGATAATAAAGTGATATTTTAGAAGTCTGTGGGTGAGAAAGTGTCATTAAGCTATTATTTGGGTGGAAAAAAGTTGTTTACTCATAAAAATGTGGTTGTGAATCCTCTCATATAGCGTTTGCTAATCTTCTTAAATGCAATTCCTTTTTGCTTGTGCAGTATGCATGTGCCGATCAAATTTGTTAACAAGTACATAAGTAGCAAAGCCAGATTTATCACATTACAAATTTCTAATGAAAAAGAGTGGCTTGTCCGAATCAAGAAGTTCAATACCGGAGGTTTTCGTATAACAAAAGGATGGGCTAGGTTTCTGAAAGACAATGATTTGAAGGGAGGAGATATCTGTATCTTTGAGCTGATGATAAGAAAGAAACACTACCTTACTCTGAAAGTTTTAGTATATCATGCAGCTATGAAGTTAACATGATTAAAATGTTATGAGTTGATAAGTTGTATTAGCTATTGCTTTCTCTTTCCAGTTTTTGCTACCAATATGATTTGTGTAAAGAGTAAACAACTTTTTCCCACCCAAGGTTTGCCTTAATGACACTTTTCCACCCAAAAAGTTTCAAAATACCACTTTCCCACCAGTATTTATATTCTGTTAATACCCAAAATACATTTCACTTTCTCAGCCGACGTTCGGAAAGTTACCAGGAGCTAGGTAAGAGGGTTTTTGTAGAGTGGAGATCGATGGATCAAATGGTGGTGACCGATTGAATATTCACCACTGGAATTAGCCAGAAAACAGCTAAGAACCGAAAACTCAAGCTTTGTGATGACCGAAAATAGGTGAGAAATCAGGTGCCGGAGTGAGAGGTGTCTTGTAGAGAGGAGATCGGAGGCTCAAATAGTGGTGACAGAGAGAATTTTTGCTCCAGAATAGACTAAAATCGGCTTTGTTTAGTAATAAAACATTAACTTTGAGTGAGAAAGTGGTATTTTGAAACTTTTTGGGTGGAAAAGTGTGATTAAGGCAAAACTCTTGTGTAAAAGGCTTCAATGCTCAAATACATTCATAATTTTCCAGGATATTGCAGATACCAGACATAGGGCCCCCGCATTGCGCGAGTATGTTTATTCAATGTTTTTAAAATAGATTGTAAACAAATTTATTCTAACAAAATAAACTAATTAGATTAAAACATATTAATTGTTAAATTATACAAAATTTAAAGTAAATCTAAATTTTATATATATACAAAGTTGCGTTAAGATAAAATTAATAATTGTACTTGTATAATTATTAATATCAATTATAGGTAGATGTTGTTAAATCATTCATCCAACTTGAGAAGATCACCTGAATATTATATGGTCTAATTATATTTTCAGGATCATCATCTTGTATAATTGATATTATTTTTGCAAATATGCCTTTGATATTTAATGTCAGTATTTTGTAGTGAATCGTGCATGATATTTAAAATCACTTGAATATTATCAAGATCAACTATTTAAATTTAAAATTTATTCTAACCTTCCGCAATTTTTGTAACTTATATTCATTTTCAAGTTGCGTTATGCGGGTATATTTATTATTATTATTTTTTTACATTATTATTGTTTTTTTTTTTGTCTTTTAAATATATATTTTATATATTGAAATTCATTTTATATTGAATTGATAATTAAAAAAATCAATAAATAAAATATCCACAAATTGAACTCAAAGCCTATATCATCATGGTTCTTCTCAAATATATCACCATTTAAAATCTGCAACCAAAATTTAAAAATTTGTCAAGAAAAGCAAAAAAATTTGTAGGATAACCCACTGGGTATTATTGATAAGTTTATATATCAATCAAAGAAAGAGAAACCTTGTTGAAAAATGTGAACTTTAAGCAAAAGACTTGCAGAGCCAAAGGAAAAAACTGATTTTGATTGTTGAGAAGAGAAAATAAATTATTTTTATTATCATTATTTTAGAAATTAAAAAAAAAATTAAGAATGTTGAGAAGAGAACTCACATAGAAAGCAATAATAACTCCAACAGTATAATCTGAAGGCAACTTAATTTAAGTATTAAAGAAGTCATGAAGATAAAGGTCATGTGACACATATCTATTTGCTGCAATTAGAATTGACCATCACCTATAACAAAAAAAAAAAAAAAAAAAAAAAACATTTAATGAAAGCATCATAAAGAAAGATGAAAACCCACAAATCAAACAAAAAAATCAATCCAAAAATCAACAAAAAGAGATCGAACAAATACAAATAAAACTACATATCAATATTTGCTTTCCTTTGTCATCGCTAAAATTGAATTATTTTTATCTGTGTGATGATAAAACAAATAGTTCGGCAGCAAAACTATAGCTATCCTAACTCATCATATAATATATCAAATTAAAGCCCTATTTTTCTAGTTTCCAAATATTCAAACTGCTCATCAATTAGATTTTTATTGAGTAAGTTATGACTAATTTACTACTAACTGTTCAATGAAAATCAAGAAATAGGGGAAACTGAAATGTATGTGATAATAAAAGGAATGGCTTGATAGTGGGACTACAGTTATCCAAATTAAGCGTGTAATACATCAAATTAAATCCCTATCTTTCTAGTTTCTAAAAATTCAAACCTCTCATCAATTGGATTTTTATTGAGAAAGTTATTATCAATTTACTATTGATTGTTCAGTGGAAACTGAAATGCATGTGATGATCAAAGGAATTGTTTGATAGTGGGGCTATAGTTATCCAAATTAAGTTTATAATATATCAATTTAAAGCCCTGTCTGTCTAGTTTCTAAAGATTCAAACCTCTCATCAATTGGAGTTTTATTGAGCAAGTTATGGTCAATTTACTATTGACTGTTCAGTGGAAGCCGAAATATGTGTGATGATAAAAATAATTGTTCGATAGTGGGGCTACAGTTATTCAAATTAAGTGTATAATATATCAAATTAACGCCATGTCTATCTACTTTCTAAAGATTTAAACCTCTCATCAATTGGAGTTTTATTGAGCAAGTTATGTCAATTTACTACTAATTGTTTAGTAGAAACCTAAATGTGTGTGATGATGAAGGAATGGTTCGTCAGTGGGGCTATAAAATGAATGGTTTACTAAAGCTACATGGTTCAACATGAAACATCAGTTGATATTTGTTAAATAAATGAAATTAGTTATATTCAACAACAATCTCTTTTCATGATATATGTATGCAACATAAAAAGATATCAACAAAAAAAGATAGAACAATTACAATTAAAACTACATATCAATATTTGTTTTCCTTTAAGGATAATAATAATAGTTTGGAATATTATAAATGATTTACTAAAGCTACATGGTTTAACAATAAACATCAGATGATATTTGTGACACAAATAAAATTTGTTATATTCTGCAACAACCTGTTTTCGATATATGTATGTAACATAAAAAAAATATCAACAAAAAACAGATAGAACAAATATAACTAAAACTACATATCAATATTGTTTTCCTTTGTAATCACTAAAATTGAATTAGTTTTATGTGTGTGATAATAAATGAATGATTCGGCTGCAAGACTATATGTATTCAAATTCATCGTATAATATATCTAATTAAAGCTCTATCTTTCTAGTTTCCAAAAATTCAAACCGCTCATTAATTGGATATTTATTGAGTAAATTATAGCTGATTTACTACTAATTGTTTAGTGAAAATCGAGAAACAGGGGAAGCCGAAATATGTGTCATGATAAAAGGAATGGTTCGGAAGTAGGGCTGAATTTAGCCAAATTGGTCTAGTTTCTAAATATTCAAACCTCTCATCAATTGGAATTTTATTGAGCAAGTTATGTTTAATTTACGACTGACTGTTCAGTGGAAACTGAAAGGTGTGATGATAAAAGGAATGGTTCGGCAGTGAGGCTACAGTTATCCAAATTAAGCGTATAATATACCAAATTAAATCCATGTATGTCTAGTTTCTAAAGATTTAAACTTCTTATCAATTAGAGTTTTATTGAGCAAGTTATGGTCAATTTACTACTGACTGTTCAATGGAAACTAAAATGTGTGTGATGATAAAAAGAATGGATGGGCAGTGGGGCTACAATTATCCAAATTAAGTGTATAATAAATCAAATTAAATTCCTATCTGTCTAGTTTTTAAAGATTTAAACCGCTCATCAATTTGATTTTTATTGAGCAAGTTATGGCTAATTTACTACTGACTATTTAGTGAAAATCGAGAAACAAGAGAAACTAAAATGTATGTGAGGATAAAAGAAATGGTTCAGCAGTGGGGCTACAGTTATCAAAATTAGGCGTATAATATATCAATTTAAATCCCTGTCTATCTAGTTTCTAAATATGCAAACCTCTCATCAATTAGATTTTTATTAAACAAGTTATGGTCAATTTACTACTGACTGATCAATAGAAGCCGAAATGTGTGTGATGATAAAAGGAATGGTTTGACAGTGGGGCTACAATTATCCAAATTAAGCATATAATATATAAAATTAAAGCACCGTCTATCTAGTTTCGAAAGATTCAATCCTCCCATCAATTGGATTTTTATTGAGCAAGTTATGGTCAATTTACTACTAATTGTTCAATGGAAACCGCAATGTGTATGATGATAAAATGAATAGTTTACTTGACCCAAATTTAAGGGATTGTCATATTAGCACTGATAAGAAATATTTCAAATAACACCTATTAATTGGAAAACAGACTCAGTCAAAATTAATTAATTTAACATATATACTCGCACATTAGTAGGACATAAACAATTAATCATTCATATAACAAATTAAAATACACGAATGCTTTTACAGAAAACATATTCAACACAAATGAACTATTTCTACTAATATAAATATGACACATACAATTCGGTTGACAATAGGATCATCCTCGATTTGATCTCAGTAAAGTACATGAACATTTCCTTGAAAACAAACATAACAAATTTAATCGATCTTTATGTTAAGATTGTTAAGGAACAATTATTCATTCGTATAACAATTATTACTTGAAAACAAAATCAACAAAAGTTAATTAATCTTCATATTAAAATTGTTAAGGAATACACTTACCGTTCGACAAGACTAATACAATTAATCATTCAAATAGATTGACCGAACAAAAACAATCATTCAACCAAATAATAACCGTTAAAATAGTTAGAAAATATACTTACACTTCGAAAAACGAATCAAAATAACAACTTATTTGACAATGTCAATAGAACATCTTTCCTTTATTCCATGCCAATTCATGAATATTTGACCTGTAAGCAACAACAAAAACATAAATAGATAAAAAAATCATCCTGTCTATCTAATTTCTAAATATGCAAATCTCTCATCAATTTGATTTTTATTGAACAAGTTATAATCAATTTACTACTAACTATTCAATGGAAGCCGAAATATGTGTGATGATAAAAGGAATGTACCCAGAACCGCCCTAATTT